TGGTTCTGAAAGACAGCGAAGTGACACTATGCTTAATATATCATCAGAGCTGAGAACACAAAGGTAAACAAAATATCTTTGCTGACAGACAAAACTTGGAATTTAGTTGAATGAACAGTGAGAGCAAACTATGCAATAACAGTCAAAACAGAGATAGCCATTTCTCTTCTGACTGTTATTGGAAAGCTGTGGTGAAGCTTTCTTAAGATTAAAATGTAATATGCAACAAAAATTTAGTGTTGTATTTGAGAAGGCATATTGCACAGTGCCATACATTCTGGGTTCTACTGTATAACAAGGAATTGTGGACTTTGACACAAGCAACATAAAGCACCTGAAATGTGGATTTTTATTTTATTTTATTTTTTTGCAAGACACTAAAAATTTATTGGATTGTGAGAGTAACAATGAAAATTTTCAAAAAATGAGTCAATAAAGACCAAAAGATCATAAAATACATAAAATGCAAAAGTTACAATACTTTGGCCACATAGTAAGACACCAAAAGCAGTGACTGTGTCGCAACTATTCATCCAAGGTAAAATAAATAAGCAAAGAGGTGTAGAAAGGAAAAGAACATTGCTGGCTGAAGAACTTGGGAGGCTGGCTTGGACACAACCCAACATCACTGTTGAGATCTGCTGTATCCAAAATCCAGGCAGCCATGCTAACATCCAATCTCCAGTTCTTCTTTATTCATTAGATTCATAATCAGCCTTTCCCCAAAAATAGGACTTGGACATTTTTCAGGTACTGTATTTTCCCTTTTACATTTTAAAGAACATTGCAGTCCACCAACTTGAGAGTGCCCTCTATATTAATTATAAAAAGAAGTGAGTAGTAATAACTGTGATAGCTTCTTTGGTGACATGGGGTGAGGACCTCCTTGAGTGTTTCCAGATCAATGTTGAAGAGAGAGATAAAGAACCAAACATTTTATAATGGAATCTTGAAGAAGGAAAGAAGAAGGATCTGATGAGCCTTTTTAAACCTTTACATTGGCAGAGATCCTAAAACAAACTGGAAAATATAAAGCCAAGACACAAATGTGTGTGAAGTAACATAAAAGATTTTAACTAGAGCAACTCAACAAATTATAGCAGTTTTTAACTGAGTCAGCACTTCCAATATGTTTTCCTTATTTTCTATTCTCAAAAGCATACAGTTTTTTCAGATATTGAACTAAGCTTGAACACTGTGACTTGCAGAAAAACTGTTTGAATATAGCTGGTCTCAGTTCAGTTATTTTTATAACAAGCTGTCATGCATGAAATCCTTTATATGCTCTCTAACCTATCCTCAGAGGCAACTTGCAAAGGACAGCTACTCATATTTTTCAGGCAAGGAATGGGGCTGAGAAAAAAATTGCCTTTCTCCCAGTTACCCAGTTAAGACACAGAGCTTAGAAAAAAATGCTTTTTAAAAGGAATTGTTTCTCATCACTTTTGAAAAGTGGATTCACTGAAATTTTAAAAAGCAACTAGCTGAGGTATTTGTTACATTGCTCCCTGCTTTCCATTGCTTTTTAGCTTCTTTTTGGAAAAAGAAATCCATCTAAACCAGACAGAAAATAGCCTAAAAGGCTACCTCAAATGTCTTAAAACATTTTTTACTTCCCAGAAGTAACAATTAGTAAATGTAACTTATTACATGAAGGAAAATAATGATGTTACCAGTTGTTACATTACTTTCAAGAGAAACATTCTCCACCCACCCCAATTATCTCAGTTATTACAGTTGAAGCATTACTTGCAACAAATTACTTTCACATTCTGTGAATAAAAGAGATTACATCCCAAATCAATCAATCAATCAAGCGATCACTCAATCAATCAATCAATCAGCTCTTCCAAGATACTGGTGGGCAGATTTCATATTTCTGGTATCTGCTTTGCTTTTTCCTAGAAACTGAAGCACCACCTACTAGATTTTGATATCAAAGACTTGGAACTAAGGAATTAAAGAATTCCAAACCAATTACAGTAATTTGTTTTGAGCAAATTCCAAAAAGAGCTCACATTTCTTCAAAACAACAGTTGATTACCTCTTGTCTTCCTCATTTCAGCACTATAATACCAGGTGGCATGTGTGCTATTTACTGGTATAATTAAAATGTTTGGAGCCATATCTTTGTTGATCCTAGAGATTTACCAGTATGGTCACTCCTAGCCATGCTGTCTCTGGGATTCTGGGGGTTGCAGTCCAAAAAGGTAACTTTTCCCACCCCAGATTTTAATGCCACTTTAGTTTAAGTCTGCCTTATATATACAGTATACCTTTCAGGTATACTGTAGATGTTATGTTTGTTAGTTCAACATCAATCAGAATGGAGACCACAGCTAGAAAACAAAAGGTTGAAACTTGGAAGGGCAGCTGTGAAAGAAGCTATAGTTCTTACTTTTAAGGAGTATTTAGAATGTAAGAATTCCTGGGCTTTATGCATCACACTTCTCACACACACTATGATATTCCCAATTACTCTGTATAAATGTGAAAGCTGGTCAATGAAAAGCCAACAAGAATAAAATCAATTCATTTGAAATGTGGTTTTGGAGCAGAACTTTACTGAAACTATGAACTACCAGAAAGACAAACAAATGGGTTCTAAATCAAAATAAACCTGAATTGCTTCTAGAAGCTAAAAATTACTGAATTGAGGCTATCACACCTTGGATATATCATGAGAAAGCAAAGACACACTGGAGAAGACAGTAATGTTAGGAAAGTGAAATGTAACAGAAAAAGAAGAAACTAAAATTAGATGGATTGACTCTATAAAGGAAACCACAACCTTTAGCCTGCAAGATATAAGTAGGACTGTTAATGATAGGATCTTTTGGAGGTTTTTAATCCACAGGGTTGCCCTAAGCTGGAAGTGACTTGAGAGCATATAACAACAATATTTCTTGAGACATTTGACCATAGTTTTATACTTAGTGAGCATACTCAAGACCAGTAGGCATCCATGTGTTCCTTTCTCTCCATTCAACTGGTGTAGTTCATGTCATGCTGTATCTCTAATTTCTTTCAACTTTCTTTATCTGTAACAAAGACGTTCTTATCTTGCTCCCCTTTCAAGCCCTATCCAAAATGCTAGATCTCATTTATAATCCCTTAAATGGCTGGAACCATAAGATCTATACAACCGTCAGACACTCTGTTTCATACCCTTTCACCCACGGAAGTTAGGGAGATTGTGATCAAAGACAGTGCCTTTTCAGTATTAGGACATATAATAATGGACTCAATTGCAGGAAGCCAGATTTAGGCTGAATATTAGGAAAAAAAAATAATTTCGGGAATAAAAAAATAACTGTTAGAGCAGTACAACAATGGAACCAATTACCTCCGGAGGTGGTAAGTGCTCCTACACTGGAGGCATTCAAGAGAAAATTCTATCTGTCAGATCTGCTTTGATTTGGATTCTTCCACTAAGCAGGGGGTTGGACTTGATGACCTTATAGGCCCCTTCCAATTATTCTATGATTCTATCTAGTTTATGGAAATCCCTTAGTTGTAGCATAGTAAGATCTCTCTGCTACCATTATTTATTTTATCTTATTTTAATAGATATATTTTTTAGAAATTGTTTAGTCCTTTAACATCCTCCTAATATGTTGTGATTATTTGAAAGGTAGGAATTTCAATGTAAACACAGAAACATTTTCAATCCACTTTCGTAACAGCAAGCAAGACAAGGAACTTGAAATACTTAATGCAGATGTGGAATATCATGTAATCATTTTTTTAAAAAAATCTGTAGTATGTAATGGCATGGGGGAGAAGTAATGCATACACCCTGTTCATCTCCACAACCCATTCATTTGCCTTGAAACAATACTTTCCACCAAATTCCCTGTAATCTTACATAACTGGTGCAAGATGCATATTTAATCATCAGTTCCAGGAAATAAAAAGTTCTTCCCTTCCTTCTCAAACAACTTTTTGAAAATACACAAGTGCATTGCTCCAGGCTACCGCCAAGTGATAATGGGTTGCTTCATCTCACCATTTTGGGGTGGACCGCCTTCTCTCCTCCTCCAGTCAAAGTAGTTTACGGGGCTTCATATAACCGTATCAGGAACCAAACTGTGGCCAACCTGAAATCTCAGTGGGCAAGGGAATTGCTTGCCGCTATCCTCAAGTGCTGTTTTCGTTCACAGCAGCAGGACGATGCATGCAAAAGATGCAAATATACCATTATGCTGCTCCCTCTATTCCAAATTTCTGCAGATACCCTTGCGATGACATGTGAATATGCTGGCTGAGATTGCAATTCAGAAAAGATCAATGCACTGCCCCAACAGGCGTCCGAATAGAAACGTTCACACAAACATATCCCCGACATGCAATATAACAGGAAAACTTAACATTCCCTTCCATATCGGGTCCCTGCCCTCGAATGCGATTTCATCTCTTAACAACTGCAATACAAATCATACAGGAGCGTGGAGCCGTTTTGCCATTTTCGTGGTTCAACTAACCAATTAATAATCTGTCCCCATCCCCTCTCATTCTCTTTCAAAGCAGTTTAAAAAAAGTTTAGTTTTAGCTCATGGGAGAAGAGTTTGCATATCCACCATCTGATTGATCGCCCCATCCCACTTAGGCAGCCAGATCGGGGAGGCTGCAAAGTTCAAACCTACCACAAAGTTTGGCCCTATTTCAAGGCTCAAGCGAGGGCGAACCCTGAGTAACGGGGTCATAAATATGAGCAAATCCCGGGGATGGGGAGGGAGGAGATGAGAGGCTCAGAGGCGCAGCACGGGGGGGAGTTTTTATTTGGACTACAACTCCCTAAATCCCCCAGCGCTACAGTCCAAAAAGGGATTCGGGGAGCTGCAGTCCAGTTTAAAAAAAAAAAAAGCTCTCCCAAGCTCCGCTCAGGACTGTGCCCGCTCCCTGGATCGCTCGTCCAAGGCGCGATCTCCCCACGCCAGAGGGCCCCCCCCCGGCCTCTTCCCCGCCGTCCTCGGCTGCCTCCCCGCTGCCCTCCATACCTTGCCGTATTTCTTGAGCTTCCTCTTGCGCTTTTTGCCCTTGCGCGCCTCTTCCCCGGCCGGCGCCTTCTCCCCACTCCAGCCTAGAGGTTCATACTTCTCCGAGAGGATGGCAAAGGAGACTTTCTTCGAGGCGCAGGCGGCCCCGTCCTCAGGCTGGGGACTGGCCGTGCGCCGCGGATTCCCGCCCTCGCCTGCCTCCTCCTCCTCCTCCTGCTGCGGCTGCTTTTCTTCCTTCTCGAGGATGGCGAGTTTATCCTCCACGGGTCCTCGACGACGCCGTGAGTATTTGGCCTTCAGCTTCTCCCCGACGGTCATGGCGCGCCGAGGTCCTCCTGAGGAGAATCAGGTCGACCCTGGGAAGGCGAGGAAGACACCTTTGCGCCTTTTCCTTCCCTGGAGAACTGCAGGCGACGACGAGCAGCCCGCCGGGCCCTGACGTGAGGGAAGCAACAGGTGGAGCTACAAGCGACACGTCCACGTCGGCTGTTGGCGAAGCAACAGTCGCGGTTCCCCGACCGGGAAGCCGCCTGCTTCCCCTCAGAAAGGGGGCGAGCGGAGAGGGCGGGAGGAAAGGAGGCCTTCCTCCTCCCTTCGGGCCGCCGTCGCGTCGCGGGCCTCCTTCAAAAGTTCAACGTCCACTGCCCTGCGGGACACTGTTGACAGTGCAGACCAAGGGAGGCCGCTTCCTGTGGCGCCGAAAAGTCCCAGCACTTCAGCACGCACACACACCCACACCCAAACTGGGAAAATAAAATCAGAGTTTGGAAACGTTTCTTTTCTGGACTATAATTCTGGCCCCGCGGGAATTCTGGGAGTGGTAGTCTGAAAAAAGGAACGTTTCCAAACGGTGCTAAGGACGTGGGTTTGTGAGAAGCAGCGATAACAGTCTAAGAAGGGCTTTCTCTGTACCAGTGGTAGGAAAATAACAAGCTACACCTTGGCCTCAGTGTGCCCTTGACCTAAATCCCTCTCTATTTAAAAACCATTGGATCCAGTTTTCTCACCATGTTCCTATTCTGAGACTGGGGGGATACCGTTTATTGGACCCCTAAAATTGTTTAATTTTTAGTAGTCCAATAAAAAGTATTACTCGCTCTTGTATTTGTGTAATCTTGGGGACCCCAGGGTCTTCTCCTTGTTCTATTTTATTAATGCAATCCAACAGATCATGAAAGCAGGTCCGGCCCTATGTAACAAAAAACAGCAGAGTCTTCTGGCCACTTACAGATAGGTTTTACTGGGCATAAACTTTTGTGCGGGGTAGCCCATTTCTTCAAATGTGTAGTCATTGAAAGGCCACAGAAGCTTATGCCAAATAAAATTTGTTAGTTTTTAAATTGGCACAAGACTGTTGCAGAAAAAAAACAGGATAGGGCAGCCCCCCCCCTTGAAAACACTGCTAATTATTTAGTTTGTATTTTTTATGCCAAAGGTAGGGGAAGGCACTTGCACAGTGTTCTGTATTATGTGACAATATAGGCTAATTGATTATTGGGTGCTGATTTGGCAGAGGGCATCATTTGCTGCTCCATTTTCAGGCAACAGAATTACTTCAGTTGGCTCTAACATAAGGCATGCTTAACAAAGTAACATGCTTTAGAAATCCGCCATTCCCCTCTTCCAGGATTTATTCAGGCAAGTGATTGCATGGTTGGAGTCAAGGCAACCTGACACCATCAGTAGATAGGTATTTGTATGTGTCAGACATCTATATGAGTCATTCCAGATATTAAATCACACTACCTTTCCTAGTTGATTTTGAACTGATAAGGAAGGTGAAGTCCTGGGTTGTTTCCTTAGGCTAGCCTTTTCAGCCTGGAGACACATGAACATTTTTCCTTAAGTGGGAAACTATTATAGAAACTGATTAACCAGGTATATAGGAAGAAAACTGTAAACCAGATTTCGTTAACCACATGCTCTTGACAAAGATGTTGAAGAGTACTGGGCTCAAGACAGAACCTTGAGAGACCCCACTGCTGCTTCCCTCCATGTATATGTGATTCCATTGAGGACCACACGTTCAGTGCGGTTGGTCAGCCAGCTGCAAATCCATCTGGTAGTTGCACTGCCTATCCCATTTTGTTCTATCTTACGCAGAGGTATGGTAGCTTGTGGTCTACCTTATCAAATTCCTTACTAAGGTCTAAGTAAACTATATCCACTGCATTTCCTTGGTCCACTAAGTGAGTCACTTTATCAAAGAGGGGAATAAGATTTGTTTGGCATGACCTGTTCTTAACAAACCCATGCTGGCTTCTAGTAATCACCTTGTTATTTTCTAGGTGCTCACAAATCTGCTGCATGATTAATTTTTTCAGGATTTTCCCAGGTATTGATGCTGAGCTGATTGGTCTACAAGTTTCCTGGATCCACTCCCCCCCCACACACACCTTTTTGAAGATTGGAACTACATCAGTTCTTTTCCAGTCCTCTGGCAGTTTTCCTGTGTTCCAGGACCTCACAAAGATTTAATTCATTGGTTCTGAGATCACATCTGCCCATTCTTTTACTACCCTGGCATGTAAACAATCAGGTCCAGGAGACTTGAACTCATTCAAAGCAGCTAGGTGTTCTTTTACTAGTTCCTTACCTATTTTGATGTGGTTCCCTCTCCTGTCTCCCACAGTGCTGCTTTTGACAGGATGGACCAATTTTTCCTTTTGCGTAAATACAGATGCAATCCTTATTCCTGTTCCTGCTTCTGTTTACTACAGCATGTTATTTATCCTTTAGTTTGGTATCTTGTTGCCAGGAATTCATTAATAAGCTTATCCTTGTTTTCATTGGATGTAGCTGCTAAAGTAATTTATCAAGTCATTAAATATTATCCCATGCCTCACTGTCTAATCACTGCATTAAAACAATTTTTAATTAGCAGGATATTAAGAACTGCACACATTTTTCCCCAGTGAGAGCTGTCACAAAGCATTTCATCATACTCCCTTTCTCCTCTCAACGTATTTCTGTTTCCTAGATTTCTAGTACTAAGTGTGTGTGCACGTTTGGACATAATGAGGTTGAGTCTTGTTTTATTTTCTTGTGGTTGAAGCAATACAGCACTCAGACAGAATCAAGCAGGTCCTCTTAACTGGTAATTTGCTATCTACTGCAGTCTTTTCCTTCCTTGCTTCTCTTTAGTCTCTTCTCATGGATCCTGTACAGTGGGGTCTTGACTTAAGAACGGCTTGAGTTAAGAACATTTTGACTTAAGAACCATTCTCATAGGAAAATATTGACTTGACTTACATACTTAGATTTGAGTTAAGAACTGAAAAAAACCCACGTGGGAGGCAGGGAAAGTGCAAAATTTGAACTTTCAGTTAAGCTTTAGTCTCTTCTCATGGATCCTGTATTCTGCTCCAAAACCATTAACTTCTTGTCAGACCAATTATGTGATATATCCCTTCTTAAATTTTCATATCCATTTCTTATCCACTCTAGAATCAACACAGATCCTTACTTTCAAAATCACGTGGCTTTCCTCCACATCCCTTGTCTAGCAAAGTGTGAAAAAGTTATTTTCTAGTAGAACTTGGACCATAACTCCCAATGTTCCCCCTAGCAGGGTGGTGACTGGTTAGTTTATTCTGTGAGGTGCAAAATCGTACCTTTTCCATGCTGTGCTGTCTTTTGATGCATTACTACCTGATAACTTTTTTTCTTCCAGGTTAATTTCCTTGTCCTTCCATTAGCCACTCAAATATTTCCTGCTCTCTCTGCTCTTCCTTCCGTGCTCCATCCCATATGCTTAAAATAACCTCTTCCATGTAACACATTAGATATAACACGTCAGTGTTAAAATAATGACTTTTGCATTAAGCGGAGCAAAAATAATATGTTCTTTTAAAGGAATTATGGTTTGAAAATTAACAATAAAATGTTTAAAACATTATTTAAATAGTTATTCTTTTGAAGCACTTGTTCTTTTAGTGAAAACGTAGTGGTTTTAATGTTAATATGTTAAATTAGATGTATTATTTGCAAGCTCTGCTTGAAACTGTCAGATCACCTGCATGTTACCCTTTATTTCCTTTAAATCCATCTTGAGAACCTGCTTTTTTCATGAAGTCTTGGCTCAGTACGATAGTTCTCATGCCTCCCATTGCTAAACCTGGAAGTGAGCCCCAGCATGTGCAATTAAAATGACTGGATATTTTGATTCATGCCTGCTTGCCTCCTGTGTCAAATGTTGGCCCTAGAGGACCTCTACTCCTTTTCCCAAAGTGCCATCATGTACAATGGGGGAAAAAAACGAATACTTAAAAAATAACAGCGTTTAAGTATTAATATAAAAGCCAAGCAAATCTTTAGTGCTTGTGGCTTCATAAAAGAATGAATAATGAAAAAAGCCATTCCTAGTAAATACCAAACAAACTTTAAGAAGACAATTCTCAACCACTTTGTCAAATGTTGTGTGTATAGAGTGCTAAAACAATTACAGTAATGGGTATAGAAAAAGCAGCCCTGAGAAATGTATATTGTGCTTTTAAAAACAAGGCTTGAACAGTAGTTTATTAAAATTGCTTCAAACAATTAGCCAGCTCTCGAGCCAAGCTAGGTCAGAGTACCATAACATTCCTGACAGCTGAACATGTTTTACAAATAATAACAAAAAAACAATAGAGAAAATTAAAAGTATATTGAAATAGGTTGAGCGTATTTATATTGCAATGTGTTAATATGACTGGAGATAGCAGTCACTTCAACACTCTGTAACTACAGTACTCATGATACAGTACCAGGTCTTTTATACTCCATGCCTTTATTTTCCTAGGCTTTGCAAAATTTTAGTCATAACAAGAATATTTATAATCATAGTGGCAGCCTGCCCGATTCTGAGTTACAAGCCCTTGGAGTTACAGCATCAGCCCCTTGTACCTCCAAGCATAGCAGAAAGGATTGTTGATAGTTGGATGGCAAAAGCTAAACATCTGAGAAAAATATAAATATGGGAGATACACAACATAATTATTCAAACCATCAACACAGCAAAGCAATATGCTTTGTGCCACACACATCAGATACCAATAATAATTATGTAGCAGCACAGCATCAGGTTTCATTTTCAGAACCCAGCAACATAATCATCATGGATTTTCCTCCATAGAGTTCAAGCTGGTTTGGCTGGGTAAGCAGCTTTGTGTGTATTTATAATATGCTTAAAGGGTAAAAAATTAATTGTACTTTATAATTCCTTTTAAGAACTTTGGTGTTTTGGAGAAGTATTTTCCACAGATGAATATATTAACTAAAATGGTATTTATTTTTCAGACAATACCAGTTTTTACAAAACAATAAATACTTAAAGAATTTACAAAAAAATAAAGTTTGTCTGGCAAGGGGAAAAAACTAGAATAAAAATCAAAGCTGAAATCCACAAATCAGCTTAGTATAATGAACGCACCAAAAACAACCTTTGAGAACAGAGCCCAATGAGGAAATAGCTGCATAACGTATCAAGAGGTTCCACTCTATCAGCTTGAATAGGGACAAAGCCTTTGTAAAAACCCAACTATGGATATGAATGTGCTAATTGTGCAATACTATTGGTGTTACTAACTACTATTTCTTAATGACTACAAAGTCTCTTGTGCCACGTCACCCTAAGCACTAACAACTCTTATTTGGTATACTTTTTTTTGTACAATGCAGTCCATTTAATATAATGCATGCACTCCATCTGATAAAGTGGGCAGTCCACAAAAGCTTATTTCTAATAAGACTTGTTA